CGTCCGTCGCCAACTCTCCAACCGGCATCGCCTCGGTCTGCTTCACCAAGGCGCCATCACCACCACCACTAGTGATAGTACCACTCGTCCTACTACTACCACTGAACCCCGTAACGAGTTTCCGTTGCTGCTGCTGCTGCCGTGCAAGCCTCTCCCTCTCCCTGGCTACAAGCTCGTCCCAGCGGCGCTTGAGGTCTCCAAAGGTGGCGTCGTAGTCGAGCACCTGGCCGAAGGCGACGCGGACCGTCTTGCCGATGCGGGGCAGAAAGCGCGGGAACCCGCGTTCCTCGGGCATGACGCGCTGAGTGCCGTCGACGAACATGGGAAGCACGTCGGGCGCTGGGTCGGACTCAAGAATCAGCCGGGCGAGGCCCCACTTGAAGTAGCGCAGGTCCGAGGTCGCATGCTGGTGTACGCATCCCTCGGGAAAGACGTGTACCCAGCTGTAACGCCGGCGAGCCGGGTCGGCCTGGAGCGGGGCCAGGTGGGTGTCGGTGCCGGTCGTGGTGTACGTTGCTTCTGCTGTTGCTGCTGCTGCGGCAGCCACGGCGGTGGCCTGTTGGGATGGAAGGGAAAGTGGGGAGGTAGTGGTGGTTGTTGGAGGATGAGAGAGGAGGCGAAGGGCCTGGGTCAGGGCTGGTTGAAAGGGCCCGCCGAAGGGGGAGTGTTTAAGCCGGTGGCAGGGCAGAACTTGGCCGTGGGTGAAAAAATTGGAGAATATTCTAGAGAAGAATCGTCAGAAAGCGCACGGGTGAAATAAGGGTCGAATAGGCGGTTTACTTGTTTGCGAAGCAGATGTCGGCGGCACCGAGAGTCCAGCGCAGGTTGGTGGGATCAAAGGCGTACCTCAAAGGGAGGATACCCCAGACTACGGGGTCGTCTAGTCTGGACGCGGATGATGGTATGAGCTGCGGGCACTGAGCAGGGCAGGGTTGACAGGCGCGGCGGGAAACTCACACGCTGATGTGATTTGAGACTACAACATGTCAGCATGTGGATGTGTGAATAAAAGACTAATTGACAGAGTGAGATTCACCAGTTAAGAGTCCGCGTTGGCGCCTTGCCGGATCTTTACGGCTGTCTAGGATATCGAGGAACGTCGAGAGACCCGTCACTTCAACGCGGTTGAACCCATATAAGAAGCACTTTGATAGGACGCCCGTCATGCCCATGATCATGGCCGATTTTAGGCGCATGGAGAGGCTCGGCCGCTGAGGGGCCGGCGTGGGTGTCGCCATGGCCAAGATCGCGAAAATAAAAAAAAAAAAAAAGCCAAGCGGAATCAAGACTTGGTGGACGACGTTTCACATGGTCTCATTCCATGCGGTGAGCGCAGCTACAGAGCACGTTGGGCTCATCGATGGGAAGGGAGACGGACAACGGGAGAACGTCTCCTGTCGGTTCACCCCAGGTTCCACACGCCCGGGACTGCACTTGTTGGGATGGCAATTGGTTCCCTCGGGCCTGAAAAAAGTCGCGGTTGCCGACGCGAGTCGATTTCAAAAAAGACAGGTCCTTGTTGGCTGCACGTGTAAATCGCAGGGGTCCTGGTATTCAGGCGTGTCAGGCTCCTCTGCCCTTCAGCCCCCAGAACCGCCAAGCACTCGCGGCAGCGGGCGCACCCACCAGATAGCGTCCCCATCTGCCACTGTGGGGAATCCCACCATGAGACTATGTACTTGATGAATTGGCGAATGCTCAATTGAAGTCGTTCCTGCAGCTCTCCAGCAAAACCACCTTTCCTGCTCTGACAGCAACCCCCACACACAATGGCCCACAGTAAGTTCCCAACAGCGAGAAGCCAACACCAGTTGGACCAAATCTGACCTCACAGGCAAAAGAAACACGAGTCGACCCATCTTCACGTCCCACGAGCGGGCCATGGCCCGCGCGGCCTGGGGCTCGTCGACGGCGCGCCTCACGCGGGACTCCTTCCTGCCCTTCGCCTCGTGCTGGCTCTGTCTCGAGCCCTCAATTGATCCCGTCGCGTGCGCCCAGGGCGACATTTTCTGCCGCGAGTGCGCCCTCAGCAATATTTTGGCCCAGAAGAAGGAGATCAGGCGAGCCGAGAAGGCACGCGAGCAGGAGGAGCGGGAGGCCCGCGAGGAAAAGGCGCGCCAGGACGCTGAGGCTCAGGAGCGCGCCATACGCGAGTTTGAGCTGACCCAGGCCGGGCTCAGCATCACTAGGACGGGGAGCACAAGTAGTACGGGAAGAGAAAAGCCGGAGCCTCTTGGGCGGGAAGGGCAAGGCGATGACGGCGCCAATGGCCGCGATAACGGCCCGAAAGCGGGAGAAAAGCGCAAGTTCTCGCTTGATCCGGATGAAGTTGCGCGCATCGCCGAGGAAGAGCGAGCTAAGGCTAGGAAGGCCATTGACGACGAGAAGGTCGGGTGTACACCAATTGCGCGCGCTGGTTTGACGTCAGAGCTAACGGGAGTCAATGATAGGCATCGAAACCTACGCTGCCGTCGTTTTGGTCTCCTTCGGTAACGCCGTCGTCAAACAGCAACAACACGTTGCACGAGGTGAAGAAAAAGGTCAAAACACAACCAGTCTGCCCGGCATCGGCAGAGGATAAACCACACTACTACTCACTACATACCCTCATCACTATCAACTTCACAGAAGAGACAGACTCAAGCAGCAACAAGCCCCAGAGGATATGCCCGGCTTGCAAAAAAGCGTTATCCAACTCCTCCCGCGCGACATTGGCCAAGCCTTGCGGGCACGTCCTCTGCAAGAGCTGTGTAGACCAATTCATGAAACCGTCCGGCGGAGAGCCGGTCCGATGTTATGTTTGTGAAGCTGACCTGACAGAGAAGAAGGAATCGTCCAAAAAGGAGGGCAAGGAGAAGATTCGACCTGGCCTGGTAGAGCTTCGGCGCGAAGGCACGGGCTTCTCGGCCGGCGGCAGCAACCAAGTGAAAAAGGACTCGGTGACCTTCCGATGTTGAGGGGCTGACAGGCTATGGGACATGCAGTCGCAGCAGAGGGGGCAACCGTTGCTCCTGGGAAGGGGAAGGATACTTCTATTTGTGTCATTGCCTTCTCTTAGTCGGCCGTCTTGACCGCGCGCAGCCAAGTAGCGGGAGCATTTTGGCCCGAGTTGACTGCGCTTCTGACATAGTGTACCCCCCTGCGGACACCCTCCACACCCGACGAGGAAACTCGAAGATACCGCTCGCGCGCCTCTTCGCGAACCTTTTTCACCCTCCCAGATAGCTTCGACCCCCAGTGCGGATTCCGCTCCAAGATAGCCAAAATGGCAAAATAAAGCTGCACAATAAATCGATGGATGACATCTTTGGACAGCATCGTCGTGCCATGGTTGAAGAAGCCCTTCAATAACTCGCCCCCAATCCCGTCGTACAGCGCCCTCCCGCCCTCAACCCTCGCGATCCTCAGCACCGTCGCAAAGATGTTGTCCCTAACCTTGCTCTTCCCTCTCCTCTTCTCGGGCGCGGCTGACACCTGCACCCTCGCCTTGGCGATCTGGAATGGGTACGTTGCGGCCGTCGCGACCACCTTGCTGACGGCCGCCAGGAAGAAAGTCGTCCGCGCGCCAGGCTCATCCCACCTCTCCCTCGGCACCAGTGCCCGCTTAAGCACCTGCTGCAAAAAGAAGGTGATGCTCGGGTTCAACGTCAACACCAAGTTCGCGGAATAACCCGCCCAGAGCCCGAGCACCCCGCGCTCCCTCCGCAACTCAGCGACGATCTCGCCGAAGCTCCGGTCGCGCGCCGTACGATCTTTGTTGCTGTCGTCACTGCTGCTGCCGTCGTCGCCGCCTTCGCTGTTGGCCTCCAGCAGGCTCGCAGTTTGCCGCTGCGTTACGACGTTGCTGACGGGCGTCGTAAACAGCTTGGCGCACGCCCCAGCGGCCGCACCGACCGCCAGCTCCTCGGCCACATGCAGGTGGGGGAGTCCGTGTTTGTTGGAGGCCAGGCGTCTCGACCGGAACCACTAACCGCCAACAAGACTTGCGTGTCAGTGAACGGTCGACTATACAAACCCACCTCCGTCGTACTGGTTTGTGTGGGTCCCGGGCTTGGACGCGCTCACCGTGTAAAACAGAAAAAACAAGAACGAATCGGCCGCCGATTTAACCACGTCGGCCCCCAGTCCGGCAAACAGGGCACACACTCCCCCCTCGCGGGCGTAGATGGCGCGAAATGCGTCTGCGACGCCCGTGTATGTGTCGTCGGGGCCGATGGCCCCCTCAAGGTACAACTGACGCTGCACCTTGAGTCGTGTGTTGACCAGATCCAGCGGGTATGTCACCGCTGTCGAGACGACCGTACCCGCTGCGCCAGACGCCGCGTGGCCCAGCGCCGGCAGGAGCTTCGACGCTGATGAGGATGGTGATGGTGTTGTTGATGAGGAAGGCATGATTTAGTCTAGGGAATACTGGATGAGTTGAATGAGCTGAGGGGCGTTGTATAGTTATATGTGATCAAGTCGATGTTGATGCTGCTTTGGGGTGGAGTTCCTTTGGAATCTGGTCGAAGAAAGAGAAAGCACACGGATTATCAACAGAGAAAGTTTCGGATGAGTGGTGAATTGACATGCCCAACAATCGTGGAATATAACCTGGTTTCCCTTAGTGGCTACGTTGTCGTTTCAAATAGGTATATCATACGCTATGCTACCTATCTCACTTCTTGTTCGTTGGACGTGGGCCGAGGTGTAGTTCTCTGGAATAACACGCACCATCGACGTCATCCCGTGTGTTAGTGCTGGACTAGGGTCAAGAGCCGCGCAGTGCCAAGCTTCGAGCACCAGCGCAGGACAGTGCGCCCAGTATCCGTACATTACCTGCTTGCATTTGGGGTGCGTTGCATGTGACAGTCGAAGCTGACGCATGGCAACCCCATGAAATGCAACTGCATGCCTCGTGTGAACAGATTGTCTGCAGGCAACGCTTCCCCCCCCCCCCCCAAAAAAAGCTAGAAAGGTCAAATTTAAAAAGCAACCCTTCCTTTCTCCTCATGTACTGATGGACGAGCTGGGAATCGAACCCAGGACTTTTCGCATGCACGCGTACCGAGAATTCGTACTGAAGATGCGAAGCGAACGCTCTACCAACTGAGCCACACGCCCTTGGTTAGGAAGTGGAAATGTTGCCACGCGAAGGTGGATACCCCTGCCATTGGGATGAGGTAGCAGACGACAGATTTATCAAGAGCGTGCCGACTGCCAACCCAAAGGTTGGGAGTCTGGGTATGGGATGTTGATATGCGTGTACATACAGTGCAGACCTACCTAGTGCTGAGCTTCGAGGGCGAGTGGTTAGGTGGAATGGCAAAGAGGGTTGAGTGAGGGTGAAGAATCAGGGTATCCCGGCCGTCACCAATCGAACTTTCAGCGTGCACCAAGGACGAAAAACCTTTGAAATTTGCAAATTCACCCTGGAATGAATCCTGCCTAGAAGCTCAACGAGTATGACCAAAAAGAGCAGAGAACCGCCGAACCAACGCCTATGTGGTACATTCCCAAACAATCCGGAGACCAACCGTACCCCCTAGCCCAAGCTGAGTGCAATCTCATATAAGAAAAAGCTGGAATGAAAATGAGTTCGGGAAAAAAAGAGAGAAGACTGGAATTTGCATAGGGCAGGGTATAATAATAAAAGCTCAACTCGAACGCCAGAGCGCCAAAAACAGGGGCGCAAATAAAAACCACTTCTCTCCCAACGTCAAACCCTATCCAGATTTCGTCTGATCACAATTTCCCTTCTCACTGGGATTTTTGCTCGGCACCGGATCCCCAGTCTCTTCCGCCGTCAGTCACGAGGAAAGGGAGACCGGCGATCCATCTATCGGTGACGCGAATACAGCGGGCTCACCGTTGGCCACAGCCTCGGGCCAGGACGCATGAGATGATCCGGACGACGCAGAACTTCCCGTCAGTCCACCCCTTGTAGTTGTTTGCGGCTGGATTAAGGGCGACGCAGTAGCAAAGGCAAATGCTGAAGCGGATGTGGATGGGGATACCGGTAGTGCCAGAGGTAGAGGTGGCGAGCGAATAACGGGTCGCAAATTATGGGGTCCCGCGATGGCTACCGCGGCGGCCACGGCAGCGGCCATCGTATCAGTCGGGTACGTTGATTGCGACGGGGAACCCTGAGCTTGAGCTGGAACTTGAGATCGAGCGCGAGCTTGAACCCGTCTTATTGCTGCGATCTGGCCCTCCGCCTGGCCCCGTGACATGGCTACTAAGTAATTGTGAGCCTGGGCATACATTCGCTGATGATACGCTTGCTGAGCTCTAATCTGGCTCCGGTTTTGTTGGCTCATCGCTAATGGCGGCTGCTGCATTACGTTAATCTGTTGCGGATAAGTTTCTTGCTCTTCGTCCTGCTGCTGCCGCTGCTGCTGTCTTTGTTGTTCTTGTTGTTGCTGCTGCTGCCACCGTTGACCCGCAATTTCCTCTTGCTGTTCCATTGCTGCCCGTTGTAGTTGTTGCTGCTGCGGTTGCGAGCGTAGCTGTTGCAGCAGCCACCGTTTCCTAGTAGGATGGGCTACGAACCCTACCCTCGTGTCCTCTGCAGCGTCGCCGTTGAGATTAGGGACGGAAGAACGGTAGGACCCCACCCCACCAGCTATAGATCTAGCAGTCAATAAAGGCTGCCCGTGCAAAATAGTAGCCGTCGGCACGCTGAATGTTCGAGCACCCTACGCTCGACCCGTGACCGACGGCCGTCGTTGGGGTGGTCCCCCTAGGCCAAAACTGGAGGAGCGTCGCGAGAAATCACCGCCCATCGGTGCCGGGTCCGGCTCGCCCGGTGCATCGTCATGGTCGAGCAGGCCGGGATGCCCCTCGGGAAGCCGCTGGGCACCGTAGCCGACGACCTTGAAAATGTTGACCCGGCCGCCGTTCGTCGCGGCTTGAAGCTGTTCGTGGAGGCGCGCGAGTTGGTACTGGCGTTTGGTAGGCGCAAACACTGGCTGCGGGACAACCGGTTGCGGGTTCCAGTTGGCGAGGGCCCCCATCACGGCTGCCGTCTCCTCGTCACTATCGACAGCCGCCTGGTTGGCTTCGTCCTCATCCTCCAAGGGTGCGTTCGCATCGATGGCGGCCTTCTGCTGCTTGGCTTGGTTCTTCTTTTGATACGCCGCCAGAAGCATGTCATATGGCAGAGATCGGCCTGGCACCGCTCGCTTGGCGCTCATGCTATGGCTTTTGCAAGTCAAAGACCGCGCGCAGGGCTGGCCGTTTGGCAACAGCACACCGCACTGCCTCTCAACGTCGACGGGGCCCTTCGGTTTCGCCGTCTTCGGCTTGGGCTCGTCCTTCTTCTTCTTTGCCTTGCCCTTGTCAAGCTCGCCCTCGGCCTTTCTCTTCTTGCCGGCGACGCTGGTTTTCTTAGCCTTGCCGGCTGTCTTGCCCCCGTTCCCGTCTTTGTCGTCGTCATCGTCGCTATCGTCGTCGCCCCTGCCGCCCCCTTCCCCCTCCGCCTTGCGCGCCTCCTCCTCCCTAGCCGCCTCCTTCAAGCGCTCGCGCGCCTCGCGCGCCTCCTTCTTGCGCTGCGCCTTCTCTTTTTTGATCCTCAAGCATCGAGCGACGTGGTCGGCGCCGGCAGATCGCGTGATGACTTTCTTGCAATGCTTGCACTGAAACATTTCGAGGATATCCTCGAGCGGGCGGCCGGTGTGGAAATTCTCGCGGGACACATCCTCGAGTTGGATGGTTACGGGGCTGGGGGAGGCGGCCGTAATAGCATTATCTTTTGATTTTTTCTTATCCTCTGCAGTTGAGCGCAATGATTAGCATGCAGTAAGGCTGTTGCGAAGCAAGCGAACACCGCGAACCTTCGATGACGGTAGCTTCCTTCCAGTTGCCCGGTTTGACCTGTTTTGGAGGCGCTTTTCGAAGCTTGATCTTGCCGAACGCCTGCGACCGGGAAGGGGTGACTGATTTCTTGGTCGAGGCGACCTTGATAGTTGCCTCCTCGTCTGTCACAGCCAGGCAGGGGTGGTTAGCCAGATGCTACGAAGGTTCAAGTGGGTGCGGGGATTGAGGAGCGCGTCGTGGAGCAGCCATACCATTGCGCGAATCCATCGTGGCCATGGCAAAGCAGCGACCGTTTTCATCAAAAGCGTTGGTACATTCGAAAAAGCAAGTCAATAGGAGTGCCGAAATAGCACAGTTGCGCGGAACAGACTGGTGCTGCCCATTTCCGAATCTTGGTTGTCTCTTGAGTCCTCGTCGTTGCACGTTGCAGGACACGAAGTGAGGCGCACGGGCACGGCCAGGAACAAGTGGAGCACGTGGAGGGATAAGGTTATCGATAAGTGACAAGGCGGTCGTTCACGGCGGCACATTCAAGGCAAGAATGTGAACGAATTCGTTGACACTCAGTAACAAATCAACCCAAGCAAAATCACTTTGACAGTATTCATTACATTGACTCAGTTCGGAAATAAACGAAAAACAACCGCTTAATGGAAATTTTCAATGTCTAAAGCAATTCTTCGCTATCTCCACCATCATTGTCGCGCTGACTATCAGCGTCACTCGTCATTATTCCTAACCCCCTCTTACTTCATGTCTGCTCCTTGAAAACATGGCCTCCATCAAAAGAAAACGGCGTCCAATCACTACCACGGCATGGGATACAACCATCGCAGGTCGTTGCCCTCCAATCTCCCTTGCATGTACTAGCCAGTCCTGGGGTCCGGCGGCTCGGGCCAAGACTGTGACGAACTCGGCGTAGGGTTGCCGCCCGGAAACCCGACGCTTGAGGGTGCATTGACAGGTGCCGACCCCGAATACCCATAGCCATAGCCTGGAGCCGGGGGCTGCCATGGATAGTGATGGTAAGGAGCAGGATAGCCGGTCATGCCTCCGTGTGGCCATATCCACGGCGCTGCACCCGCTGCTGTGGGTTGTGGGGGAAACCCTCCCCGCCCAGGTATCGGCTGCTGGTGCCACCACTAGTAGCCGCCATAGTTGCCTTGGCTCGGTACCGTCTGCTGATACCCTCCGTGCGGGTGCATCATCTGCTGTGCCTGGAGATGTTGCGGGTGCTGCTTAGGCCCCGGCTGGCCCACCATCAGGTCGCTGAACCACGGGTGCGCCAACGCCTCGGCCGCTGAGAGCCGGAGTTCGGGCCGGAGCTGCAGCAAGCGTTGAAGGAGATCGATGCCGACCGGGTCAATCTGTGGCAGGATGCTCGAAAGGGGCTGCGTTGCGTACATCTGCCATGTCGTCTTGTACTCGGGGAATTGCGAGAGGCCTGGCCACGTCCTCTCGCTCGGCGTGCCCATGATGCGGAAGATGCGGATAATTTGGTCCTCGTTGGTCGTGCCGGGAAACAGGGGTCGGCCAGAGAACATTTCTGCCATAATGCAACCGGCTGACCAAATGTCGATGCTTGTATTGTATGTCCGACTGCCGAGGAGGACGTCGGGCGCTCGGTACCACAAGGTGACGACTTCGTTGGAGAAAGTGTTGACCGGAATACCGAATGCCCTGGCAAGGCCAAAGTCGCCCAGCTTGAGCTGCCCCTTGCTGTTGATAAGGAGGTTCTGCGGCTTCAGGTCGCGGTGGAGGACCCGGTTCTTGTGGCAAAAGTCAATGCCCTTGAGAAGCTGGTACATGAACGACTTGATGACTGGAGGCTTCAGCGCGCCCCTGTCGCCTTGAGTGTCCATATACTTCTTGAGGTCGCCGTCCATGTATTCAAAAACAAGCATCAGCTTGTTCTCGGTGTGGATGACATCGTGGAGGGCGACAATGTTCTCGTGCTTGAGCTCCTTCATAAGAGAGATCTCGCGGATCGCGGTGCTAGGAGTCCCTTCCTCTGAGTCCAGATGGATTTCCTTCAAGGCCACTAGCTCGCCTGTCTGGCGGTTACGGCCTTTGAAAACCTTTTGGTCATGTCAGTACTCACGAAGCTGATAACTTGTTTGAACTGAGACGAGCTCGACTCACTGTGGCGTATGTTCCCTCGCCCAGCTTCTCAAGCTGTTGGAAGGACGCCGCATGCCTCTTTCCGTCCATGATTGTAGCCTAGCTAGGACCAAGCGGTCGCAGTTATTCTGCCGGAAAGGGTTGGCTGTCTGTCAAAATCGCCGACTGCAGCAAAGCGGGTAATT